ACAAGGCTGATTTTATGCTAAAATAGACTCTTCTATCAGATAGTAAGAAGTAAGATAAGATAAGATTCGATCATCATACAAGAAACTATGCAACAAACCCACAAATCGACGGTGTTACTTTTAATACAATACAACCAAAATCCAAATTAAAAGATGACATACTTTAAGAATCAGCGTTTTGGGGTGGTTTTCTCATACTTGCCTTTAATCCATTGGGCACCCGCAAAACCCGCCATTAGGACCCCCTGAGACCAAAATATAACGCCCTCTTTGGTCTTCACATACATTTCGGCCATACTGGGTTTCTTCTTAGGCAAGGGTGGAAAGTCTTTAGAATGATCAACCCACGGCTTGCCAGGCATCCTTCTTTCTTCTACTTGATTGATTAATTTCTGCAGCACTCAGCAACTCCGCCGAAGCTTAATAACTTGGATTAATTGGTCAGATGAAGCAGGCGGTGTGCATGTATTTATAATACAAAGTAGAAACGAAATGACACTAGAATTCGATTATAAAACTGTATCTTAAAGACCAAGCCCCATCCTTTCCTTTTCTTTCCACGTTATCTTTTATGGTCAATTGCTAAAATAAAAAGTTTGATAACATTTATAATATATATCCACAACTTCATTATTATATATTCACAACTTGCATCACAGTTGGTTCGTCTTCTCCTTCAATTTGGTAGATTAGGGTTACTTTTGGGCTGCTTCAAATCCACGAATTATTTTGTTTTTTAATATCTATTGCGATCATACTTTCCAAGTTCAAATCGTTTTTGGCTGAATATGATGATAGATAATCCTGCTCCAGTCTTACGAGCATTGTATCATTGCATTGCTCAATGGTGATAGACCTATTCATAATCTGATTAATCATGCTCCAGAATAGATTTCAAAATGTTATACAAAATTCATAACTTTTTAGTTATACTGAATTTTGGAAGTGATGTGGTTAGCTATTTGATTGATATGATATTTTATTTACCCCTTTGTGTCTGTTTTATCAAATGTTTTTCAATGATTAACTTAAATTGATCACCATCTTCCGCTGAGATTGTGCAAAAAAAATTTATTATTTTATTTTTATTTCAATCTATTTGTTAATTTAATCCCCACCGTATCTACTAATGTCTTTACCTAATCAAAATGACCGTTCTATCCGACCTACCGGTGACTCCTCATATTAATCACATCAACTAACCATAATTAACAATTAAGGTAATTACTCCAGCTCAACTAATCCGAATACCAAACTAATCCTCAACTGGGCAAAAGACCATTTTGCCCCTTCCAAGCCAACCCTCCCAGTTGGTTAAAAGTTAAAAAATCAAAAGCCAAACCCTTTATTGATTTACGCATGGCGTACTACAGATCTATGAATGACATAGAGCACCACACTGTTGACAATCTCAAAAAAGGCTATGATGGGCATAACCTACGTTACACACGGCGTAACCATCGGTTCTTCAAAATCCAACTTTAAGGTCTTAACTCTTGAAAAAAACTTCAAATCATTTCGAAACTTTTGATTTTTGGTTCTTATTGCTTAATCATATTTTTTCCATTAACTGAAGAGCATTTTTATCATTTCACTACCACGGGACCAAGGTTGTCAAGATCGGGATCATACCTAGGATCGTTTTTGGGTTTGCAAAATCGGAATCGTAAGATCAGGATCGAGATCCTAAGATCCCACAAAATAGAATATAATTCTAATTTATAATATTAATCACAAAAAATATTTCAAACATTTAATTTTTCGTTCAAAAGTTATAAAAACTTTAAAATATTAATCATAAGTCACAATAAAAATAATAAATGGTAGATTGGTAAAGAGTAAAAGAAATAAAACGGTAAAAAAAATTCATTTGGAAAAAAAATTTAAAGGAAGGTAGGATCGGATCGGATCTCGATCCTACGATCCTACCTACGATTTTACGATCCTACCTGCGATCCTACCCAAAATTCGATCCTTTTACGATCCGGATCGTTTTTCATACATAGGATCGTAGGATCGTACGATCCTACGATCAGGATCGCGATTTTGACAACCATGCACGGGACTATTTATAAAGTTTTTCCTTATTTAAGAAAAAAGAAAAAAGTAAATAGAATCTCCCTATATTAAAAAGAATGTATTTTTTTTTGTCATATATCATCATATTAGATCTATTAATTAATGCGCTACCACTTTCAAATCTACTAGTTCTTCATTTTAAATTTATTAAACTTCCTTATTAATGCAATGCTATTTATTCTCTATTTTAAAATTTAAATTTTATATTACTGTTTTCATTAATTCACACATAAAAAATGTCTAATATATTTTAAAAATTAAATTTACATATTTACTTGAATCATCAATTATAATTTCACATAACTAATAAAAATATCTCTTAAATTAATAATTTATTTAAAATAACTGATTGATAGTTTTGAGTTTTTACTATAAAAGTTTAGTTAAATTTTATAATTGTGGTTCATACGGGTTATAAACTAGTTATTTAATATAAAAGGGTCTTACCCCTCTCTCTCTCTCTCTCTCTCTCTCTCAAACACATATACGTACACAAGAACACGTATACCCCCTTTCTCCTTCGTTTTCACATTCTTTCCCTTTAACAAATCACTGGCTTCTCCTTCAGTTTAACATTTAACAAAAGAATTAGTACCGAAAACTCAAATCAAGAAGGAGAGATGCAAATACACTTTGATCAACACAACCCCCAAAATTTGGATTGTGCCCTCTTTCATATTTTAATCGATGTTTCTTCCTAAAAATTTACCACCGATTATGGTGTCACAAAGCTTCTGTTGATGGGTGATAATTTGTAGGTAACCAGATTTCCTTTAAACCCAAAATCAAAGATTGTATCCGAGTTTAAAATCACCCAATCGGAAACCTGCCTCAGAATCTAAAGTCGTTGTTGAATTTTGATCGAAGATTGTATGTACGTTTTAATCGTCGTCGCCGGAAACCTGCATCACCCACCCTTCATGTTACCCACCAGATTTCGTGCTTGGATTGAAGTTTGGTGGAAGACCCAAATCATATTGCAAAACTCCGTTCTCTATTCAACGTCTTCTTAAAATGCATCATTGAGTTGCCAATAAACTTCTCAGGAACATGATTTTTACAGTTTGAAGGATGTGTTCTAATTTTAACAAGACAAATAATTGCTAGACTGTTTGACTATGAGGCTAAGGTAAATCAGAGAAGAAGACGAAGGTGTTGGGTGAAGCACGGAGTGATGAAGGTGAATGGTTGGGCTTGGGAAGAATGAGGCTAAGGATCATGTGTGTGTTTGTCTAGAGAGAAAGAGAGAAAAAAAAAGAGAATATATATATATATATATATATATATATATATATATATATATATATATATATATATACACACACACACACACACAAGGTTCTAAATGGCGTGAGACGTGACGTGGTGGAAAGGCCAAGCCTCAAGCTTAACGAGCCATGACGAGCGATGACGTTTTTCATGGCGTGATGTTAGACGGCGATTTTGTATTAATTTATAATTATATTATCACATAAATTTAAATTTATATAAAATATAACTATTTTTTTAGAAGTGTTATACCGATAACTAATAACAAAAAGTTAATAAAAAACACAATAGTGGGGTCCCCGATTAGAAAAGACATAACAAAGAGGTAAAAAAACATGTCTCAAACGAAAAAACATGCGGCATAACACACCATAGCGCGTCATGGCCCACCATATCACACTTTGCCACTAGTCACGCCTAAGAGCAACGTTATGGGGCTTTTCGTAACAGCAAAGTCATGCCTCACGCCATGACACGCCTTGACGCGCGTCATGGAGCGTCTTTTAGAACACTGTATTTTTTAGAACTAATAACAAAAAGTTAATAAAAAACACAATAGTGGGATTCCTGATTAGAAAAGACATAACAAAGTGGTAAAAAACATGTCTCAAACAAAAAAACATGCGTCATAACACACCATAACGCGTCATGGCACGCCATATCACACTTTGCCACGAACCACACCTAAGAGCAACGTTATGGGGCTTTTCGTAACGGCAAAGTCACGCCTCACGTCATTGGCACGCATTGGCGCGCGCCATGGAGCGCCTTTTAAAACACTATATTTTCAAAGTCTCAGGACGAGTCAGAAAAAAAGGTCCTTAAACTTATTATAAGTTTTCATTTTTAAATAAAAATATATAATAAAAAAATTAGGTCATATGCAATTGAACACTTTGTCCCCTCTTAACGCCCCCATGCTTCATAAATGGTCTATGTGGTACTGAAATGATAAAAATATCTTTCAGTTAACGGAGAAAATATGAGTGAGCAATAAAGACTAAAATCAAAAGTTTGGAAACCATGAAGACCATCTGTGAGGTTTTTTAAATTTAGGGATTAAACTTTAGATTTCAAAATACCATAGGACTATTTATGAAGTTTTCTCCCAAAAAAATCGTCCTTATAACCATAAAACTTCTAAAAGTTCCGCATTAGTTTTTTATTGTAATGTTCATATATTTTTGTATCTCTACTTTTTTGACGAATTATTTACTATATGTTAAATAAAACAAAAACTAAAAATACTATCAATATTAGTTTAAATAATGCTCACTAAATTAGACCCAAGTCCTCATCAAGTTTTTTTTTTTTTTTTTTTCTTGAACCGGCAATTTAATTTATAAATAACAAAACAAAACCAGCCAGATGCTGGATAGGATACATTGTTTTAATTACAAAGGAGGGGGTTTGCATTCCATACTCTCCATTCTTAAGTTATTATTACCACCTCTATGTTTCATCCAAACAAAAGTTTAGGCCTTTACAATAGAAATTATTTTCACCGGTTCAGTTTCAATTTTGTTAAAAATTCTATCGTTTCTGGCTCTCCATAAACCCCAAAATACACCAAATAAAATCGTAATTAGTGTTTTTCTCTTTTTGGGACAGTTCCCCCATTTGATAGCGAAATCAATGATGTTTTGGACTCTTTAGAAATCAATTACAGGGATATTGCACCAATGAAGAATTGCAGATAATACTTCCTTTGCAACTGGCCATTCTACAAGAAAATGACCTCCAGTTTCTTCCGATCTTTGACAAGAGCCACAAAGAGTTGATGCCATTGCCACCCCCCCCCCCCCCTTGTTTCGAAGTGCTCCAGCTGAGGGAATTTTATTTTGTTTGGCTCTCCAAACAAAATCCGATACCTTTAGTGGGACTGTTTTTAGCCATGGAAAGTACCCGTCACATACTGGGAAATTAGCTCTTTTAATTCTCTCCCGGAGGCCAGCGACATTGAATTCACTGTCCACGACATAAGGTAATACATGACCTGCCTGTGGATCTCCTGAATGAAGAATCTCCTCAAGAGGAATATTGATTTTTTCCAGTGCAATTTTTCTTTTAACAATATTCCTCTAAACTCCCGTCCATCGCCCCTTAATTTGGTTCGATTTTGGACTGCCGACATGTTGTGCAACCCCATTATAATCTTAACCCAGAGGGAATTGGGTTCATTCTTCAATTTCCATAACCACTTGGTAAGTAGAGCGAGGTTCAGAGCCCGTATTGAACCCAAACCTAGACCACCCTCATTTTTTGGTGACATAATCTTTTCCCATGCGATCCAATTGATGCTCTTATTGCAGTCTGGACCACCCCAGACAAACTGTCTACGGATTTTTTCAAGAGAGTTTATGACACCAACTGGGGCATCAAAAATTGACATATAATAAGTGGGTAGACTCCCGAGAACCGCTTTAGCAAGTGTGATACGACCCCCAAAACTGAGTGTTTTTGCCTTCCACACTGATAATTTACTCTTTAGTTTTTCCAAGATTGGCCTCCAAGACATCACACGGTTCATATTCATTCCCATCGGGACACCAAGATACGTGAAGGGCAATGATGCCGGTTCACATCCCAATAAGTTTGCCCAGCTGACAACTTCCTGGTCTGGAGCTCCAACACCAATAACTTTTGATTTGTTGAAATTTACCTTCAAGCCCGAAGCAACATAGAAGCAACGAAGTATCCTTGCAAGGTTCGCAACATTTCTTTTTGACCATTCTCCTAAAAATAATGCATCATCTGTGTACAATAGATGGGACAAACAAAAATCAGCATTAGGAATATTAATACCATCGAATATACCTCTGGAGGTAGCTGATTTCATTGCGATATTCAACCCTTCCATCGCGATTATAAACAAAAATGGGGATAAGGGATCCCCTTGTCTCACTCCCTTAGACATCGCAAACTCCTTAGTGGGGCCACCATTGATAATGATCGAAGCTCTAGCCGATTCTAAGCAGCCTTTGATCCAAGCACGCCACTTTGACCCAAAGTTCATTTGCAACATAATGGAGTCGAGATAACCCCAATTAATGGAGTCAAAAGCCTTGTTAAAATCTGCTTTGAATAGTAATATTTTGCTTCTATTAGCCTTTGCTGACGAACAAATCTCATTTACAACGAGTGGGCCCTCCAAAATATTCTTTCCCTCTACGAAAGCAGATTGTACGCCATCAATTACACTCCCAATTACCTTTTTGACCCTTAGGGCCAAGATCTTTGCAATGATCTTATACATAGACCCAATCAAACTAATTGGCCGATAATCACCAAGACTGAGAGGATCCTTAATTTTCGCGGCTAGGGTAATGAAAGAAGCATTACATCCCCTTGAGAATTTCCCCATCCTTTCAAAGTGTTTAACATATTCAACGATATCACCTTTTATCGATTCCCAGTATCTTTTAAAAAAAAATAGTGTAAATCCATCCGGTCCCGGGGCCTTCTCGCTACCACACGCCTATACAACATTTTTTATTTCATGAATCGAAATTGGAGATTCTAAAAATTCTACATCTGCATCTGATAATTTTTTAAACAAAGTACTGCAAAATTTTGACCTAGTTTTCCATTTTTCATGGAACTTTTTTGAGAAGAAATCAACTGCTATATTTTTCATTTCGTTAGGGTTTGTTATCCATTTTCCTTCCACCAAAAAATGATGGATCTAATTTCTTCTTGCCCTGTTGTTCACATACCCATGAACGAATCGAGACTTCTCATCACCATCAACAACCCATTTGATTCTCGCCTTTTGCCTGAGATCCAACGAAGCCAATCTTTCCAATTTTGAGAGCTTACCATAACCCCTAGCCCTCTCTTCCAATTCCTGGTCGGATAAATGCGTAGCTGTTGCCAGTAAGTCCAATTCCTCCATTCTTTTTTTATTGTTATTCTTTCATCATTCTCCTTATGATATTCGATTGCCTCATCAAGTGATGTCGAGACTTACACAAGTCTTAATTCCCAAGCAAGGCATGGATCCACGTGATCATGACTAAAGTCAATTGAAAAACATGCTAACTTATCCTTATTTTAAAAATATTGTCTCAAAACATTTCATGAATGAAATAAATAAAGTATTTCAATTAATATGTATATTTGAAAACAAACTTAAAGTATAATGATATAGTAGGAGAAATGTGCCATATGGTAAATATTTACCTTAACCGTGTAGGTAATCATCTATCATCTTCCTTAAATTTAAGGATGCTTAACGATCCTCTAAAATAAGATTAGAGATCCTAAGGACCAGTGTCCATATACAAGTCAACCTATACATATATGAACGCATAAGTAAGATGTTCAAACGGTTTTCAATTCACTACAGTAATTTCCTAATGAATATAATCAGTTCAAAATATATTTCATGCAACATTTACTTATAGTAGTCATATCGCAAACAAAAAAAATCTCATATAAAATTATCAAGACAAAATATTTAAAATAGGTTTAGAGGATATGTATTCTCGGTAAAACTCACATTATCCTTTCTAGGCTTCTAGCTTCTTAAAAGCATCTTACTTCTCTTCTGGCACCTATAGTTATCATTTAAGGTCTTAATCATTGATCAAAATCATCAATTTTAGCTTATACCTTACTTCCAAACATAATTAACTTAATTTCAATTATATTGATTTGTAACTAAAAGTATAATAAAATAATTAAATATTTTTTTCTATGATAAGAAAAAGATTATATAGTTATTTGCTATTTAAATTTAATTTCAATTATATTTATTAATTTGTATATAAAAATAAAATTAGTATAAACTATAATAGGGCAAATAAATTAATTTGCTGTCAAACTAAACTATAAATAAGGGTATTCGTTTACGAATTATTTTGGTTGTCTTAGACATTTCTAAAATATATAACTTAAATATTTAACAAGCCTATAAAATATATAAAACAAATTATTTAGTTATAAGTTAAATCTTTAAAACAATATATTAAAATGCAATGTGTCTCGTTAGAGGTGCTAAACTGCTAATGACAATTTTAAACGAATTTAATAAGTTTTTGAGGTCTCCAAACTAAGTATATAAAGATAGATTCAATAGTTTTACTTATCGACGTTTGATTGCTTCGTATGTGCTTTAAAGTTTAAAGAGGTCCAATAATGACCATCCAAAGTTTGATGGATGGAGCTCTTACGTTTTTTTAACGTAGTTTCAGTTAATTCATAGTCTTTTTGAACCAAACATTTCTTTATTGCACCACGCCTACTCATATGAAAGCCATAAAGTCATATGATAAATTTATTTAAATTAGAGTCTTTTTTTAACCAAACACTTTTAATATAAATCCAATAGAGACCATCCAAATGTTAAAACAAGTTGATACAATTATCAAACACTTTTAATTTTAATGAAGTCGGTCTTTTTGAACTAATCTTTTTATTATAATTTTACGAAATCAGGCCTTTCTCTATCCAAAACAATATTTAGCTCTTTTAGAAAACACATGGTACAAAAAACCATTAAATCATCATTCGATAGATTTATTGAAGATATAAATGGATGGACGAGAATCTTTGTCTTTTGCACAAAGAATATATTGAGTGCCAGACTATTCCTACATAGCGGGTGTTTATTTTATCTTTTAAAATATCTTTTAGCTTTTAGAAAAAGATAAAAAGGCAAAAGATGTTTGGTAATATTGTAAAAATTATTTTTTTATATAAGAAAAAATGAACTTTTTGAATTCTAACTTTTTGCAACTTTTTCTAAAAAGAACTTTTGCCTTTCAAAAGCTTAGCCAAACACCCCCATAATTTTACTTAACTTTTATTTTTTGAACAACAATGAATTATACTAGCACGGAAATTATTACATTTTTTGTTATTGACATAAAAGTCTAAGGGGTGTTTGGATAGAGAAAAAAAAAAGGTTAATGTTTATTGCTTAATCTCACCGCAATAAGCAAATTTAAATGTTTAGATAAGAATCTTTAAAAATCAGCTTATTACGGTAGAAATAAACAAAATAAGTTGATGTTAATGAGCAAGAGGGTGAATGCTTATTGCTTAAAAGTCATTTTACTCATATAAGCTGTTTTGTTTGTCAAACACTTACAATATTTAATGTTTATTACTTATTCTCATCGCAATAAACTAATCCAAACACATTTTAAAAAAATATTTATTCTCGCAGCAATAAGCAAATAAGCAATAAGCTAAAAACTATTTATTCAAACATCCCTAATTATAGTGGTGCCAACACATACTAAGCGAATAATAGTTCCAAAAAAATAAGAACAGAACATAAGTTGGTCCCGAACCCACAGTTTCAAAACAGTTTCGATTCCAAAAGCTAGATGTTCTCGCCCCTACCTTCTATCATATATTATCATGTTTTGACAAAAAAAAATAAAAAAAAATTAATGGTTTATAGGGATAAACTAGTTCATTCAGAATAACTTTCATAAATTCGACTGAATCAAAAGAGAAGCTTGATTGAAATTTGAAAATATACCTCGAATTAAGACATTAATAGTTTATAAAATTAAACAACAACCAATGATCTCCGACTCAGAAAACACTATAAAATTAATCAAAAAATCCTATACCATATAAGACAATCTTATATAAGTCCATAAACAATAACTTATTTACCTTTTATACAACAAACAAATCGATTATCATACAAGCGACTAAGGAAAAAAAAAACATAAAATCGACAGAGTAAATAAAACAAAAATCCAAAAGATGACATACGAATCAACGTTTTTGGGTGGTTTTCTGATACTTATCTTTAATCCATTGGATACCCACCGAAGTCCCCTGTTTGACCTTCTTAGCACCAGTCGCAGCCACCTCTTTGGTCTTACCAAATCCTTCCCCCATCTTCTTCCCATACTTTCCGGTCATCCCTCCGCTACCGGTACCGGTTTTCTTGTTATAATTAGCAGAAGCGGGCATGGGATCTGGATTGTGATCCCATTGATCAGCCCACGACGTGCCATATGAATCGTTTCCTGACATCCTTCTGATTGATTAGTTTCTGCAGCAGCTAATTAAACGTCAACAACTCCGGCGAAGGTTAATAGCTTGGATTGGTCAGATAAAGCAGGCGGTGTGCATGTATTTATAATACAAAGTAGAAACGAAACGACACTCTATTGGTGGTCTTCATGCGGAAGCAATGAATATATTCCCAAATGGTTTGGACTTTGAACCACGCTACGCTATCTTGCATAAAGACCAGCCCACCCTTTCCTTTTCTTTCCGCGTTATCTTTTATGGTCAAACAAATGTTAAAATTAAAAGTCGGTACTTTAAAAGTTTGATAATATTACTCTAGTCATTTCCTACAAATTGCTTCTTAATTATTGGGATGGATTTCAAATTCGATTATAAAACCGTATTAGGTACCTGACTAGTAAACATACTTATTTGTTATTACAAACGTTTTTCACCGACCCAACGACCTGATTAATTACCATACATAACCATTCTTACAAAGGTGCAAAGACAATTTTTGTTGAATTTATAAAAGTGAGTGGCATTAATACATAAATACAAACCACATATATGAGTTTAGTCTAACATAATATGATTAATTCACAAACACAAGGAATTTACGGCTTAGATGAGAATTGTATCTTACTCATTGACAGGGCATAGATGAGAGATAATTGAGGCTTACAAATTGGTGAGATGAGACTCCCCTTTGGATTTCATTTAATGTTGGTGTCGACGACTCGATGTATTATTAGTTTAGAGATTCGAGAACAAAATCAGGATTAAGCGAGTCTCAACATTGTAGTTTTAAGTTTAAATTATTAGGCTATTTATGCCAACTTGAAATTGCCCCTTCCTTGTGTGTGTGTGTTTGAGAGAGAGAGAGAGAGAGAAAGAGAGAGAGAGAGAGAGAGAGAGAGAGTCTACTTATGTGTGCTTTGCAGGAACGTAATCTGTTAGTTTTCTATTAGACGGAGACTATTTTTCTAAGTTTTTTAAACAAATGAACCATTTTTGTGAAAGAATACACATGGGCCTTTTGACCAATATTCAATATGTTTTTTTGTTAGCATCCAATGTTAAAATGTTATTAAACTTTGGATATTTTTCAATATCATTAAAAAAAATATCAACTTTGGAGATTAAAAAACTATTTAATCCATATGTAAATTCAGGATATATCATTTAGATGTTATGTACATATTCAACGAAATTTTCGGATATTAGGGGTTTCTCGTTTTCGCTTTTTATGAACTCAGAGCAATCAACTTCGTTTTCTACTGAAATTTCACTCATCTCACTCTCCTCATCAAATTCAGACGTATTTTCTACATTCATTTTATGTTCGGTCATTAATTTTGAGTTTGAAGAGTCAAATGATTGTAGGGTCTCTGTCTTAATTTTCAGCTTATCATTTTCGTCTAAGAGTCTTTTAAGCATACATTTGTGTTCTTTTGAGTCAATGAAAGACTCAATTTTGTCCAGACCGATTTTATAAGTGACAGAAGTCTCTTCTAAGGACATTATGGATTCACATTCAGCAGTGACCTCATCCTCTTTAAACTCAAGGAAGGGTAAGATCATCTTATGAATCTTTTTCCCTATTTCACAATCTAAATGCAATTGAGTAATATTTGTATATAAGCGTTTAGAAACTAAGCAAAAAATGTTTCTTTGTTTTAAAAACTTCAAAATTGTCTCTCTGCAAATAGATAATCTCACCCTTAGCCCTAATTAACTCCGTCTCCCTCAGCTCAATCCACATGCGTCTCTCCTCACTCTTCAATAACTCCCGGCTGAGTTGGTCAGTTAGGTTAGAGTTTATTAAGCGAGTTTGCATGAGACTACTACTGAGATTAGCGGATTTAAATTTAAGTTCGTTTAATTCTTCTTCGTAATTTATGATGGGAATTTTAAGATATTCGAGGATGGATTGTACCTTTTTGATCAACCGATCGCAATCGTTAATCTTTTTACTCATGGGCTTTGCTGCGAAACACTTGTCCTCCTTCAAGTTCGGCTCCGTACGGACCGTACGCTCATCTTCTGTTGGTACACCTGCAGTCACCATCAAGCACTTCCCAGCTGAACCGTTAACTTCCTCTCTTGCCACGTATGCTCTGCCATGCGTAGGCTTCCTTACTTCTTCATCCTCAGAGTCTATTGACCAGACTTCAACGCCTCCAAACTCATCATCGACCATATTCTCCTGCACAATCAAGACATTCATATAATTGTTAGTTGCCTTCCTTTTCTTTAGCTCCTCTAGCTTTCGTTCATGATAAGCCTCATCATCTTCACCATCCCTTTTTTCTGCCATCTTTCGTAACATGTAACTTTCTACTCAATCTCCTTTCTTTCAATACTATGCTTCATCATCTTGTTGAGCAGATGATTGTAATAATAAAATGTCTGAAGAAGAGTCTCATCAAGTTTTTGGGCAAAAGCACCGAACTCAGAGAGTAGCAAGGTTTGTATCGAGTGCTCCAGATCTTCATCATTCGAATACAATTCTTTCAGGCTATCCCATATTGCCTTTGTGGTAGTGCATGAACTCACCAGACGGAAGGTATTGACTTGTAGGGCAAATCTGATCATCCTCAAGGATTTAAGATTGCATTGTTGCTTTTCTTTTTCATCTTGTGGAATCTTCTTTACATCCACTAAAAGCTAATTGTACTCCTTTTGAATCTTCATTGTCCTACTTGTTCCAGTATGAACAAACGGACCGATTGTAATTGCTTCCCAGATGAGATACCCATTGTCTTCAGATCCGACCACGTAATCCTCAAAGTGATGCGCCCACACTTCATAGTCTTGAGTGTAAAGAATGGGAACTCTTGTGGATGACCCAATGCTATTCGAGATGTTGATGGGATTGCTTTGAGAGTCTTCGTGCGACATAATGATCTTGTGTTCTGGATCTGCTAGAATCAAACTTGTAGACTTGAGATCAGGGTTTTATCAAACACTAAAGTTACCGTCGACAGGTAGAAGACGGCCTTTATATATTTGATAAAAGCGGAAACCCTAATGAATTCTTTACACAGAAGGAATGCGTATGAGTAACACAATCTCCTGCTCTGATACCAATTGTTGGAATAATATTCCTTAATGATCGATAGATTCAAGCAGAAAAGCAATAAATGAAACAATAAGAACACAAGAATGGTTTGAACGATATCGAATGATTAAACTTTAACATCCTAGAAGAGCTCGATGAAGAACTTCGACTGTAAAGGTGTTTAGGGTTACAATTCAAAAGATAATCAAATTTCTAGTGTATTTAAGGCATACATGCATGCACTATATAATACTACATAACCCTAATCACGGTTGGACAGGCCCAAATTGGATATACAAAAGACTAGCCCATGACGCAACACATAATACCCAACAGTTTCACTATGAAGGATTTTAGCACTGTACTCCCTTTCAATGATGTGATAGCAACCACTCTGATCTTTACCATCTCCTTCCATCTACTATTGGATACACCTCATCCTCTGCTCTTATTGTTGTTTATTACGACATGTTGCAAAGAAGACTTGTACATCTAAGCACCGTTATTTTTTAGTTTCTTAAGTCGCGTTATTTCTTGTCCTAGTAAATACATCTATTTATGTCATGATTTTCAACAAGGAAAACACTATCATTTACTGTTTTCTTTATCTCAAACCAAAAGTAGTCGTGTGTTTGAATTAATTCATTCTGATTTGTGGACCTCTCCTGTTTCAAATCTTAGTGGTTTTAAATACTACATTCTTTTCTTGAATGCTTTTTTACATTTTTAATGGATTTTCTATTAGGTGCCCAATCTTAAGTGTTTTCTACTTTTAAATCTTTTCATGCTTATGTGGTAAACCAATTTAAAACTGATATTCAACTATTTCAATGCGATAATGGTCGTGAAGTCAATAACAAATCATTCATGACTTTTTTAATGAGCATGGAATTAAAATTCGTTTCTTATGTCCTTATACCTCCTAACAAAATGGTAAAGTTGAACACACTATCCGAACCATTAACAACACCATGCGCACATCTATCATCCAAGCCTCCTTTCATCCTTATTTTTGGGTCGAGGCTCTTTAATTCTGCTGCCCACACATTTAATTTTCTTCCTATGACTATACTGCATCTTAAAACCCTATTTGAAATTATTTTTGGTTTCTTTCCCTCTTACGATCACCTTCGAATTTTAGGTTGTCTTTTCTACCTGAATCTCTCCTCAACCACCCCTCACAACCCTTATCCTTGTTCATCAGTATATGTTTTCCTTGGCCCGTATACTAATCATCGTGGTTATTGTTGTTTTAACCTGATCACTCAAAAAGTGATTCATTCTTATCACGTCACCTTTGACAAAAATCATTTTGCATTTCATCAATTTCATGGATCTCCCTCACCAGAAGACTATATCTATTTCATTCCAGAAGATGATCCTTCTCCTTTACCATCTTCACTTTTATCTCATACTACCACCTCTCATACTCCTGATGTCAATACGATGTCTCACAACTCCTCTAACTTTGAGTCAAGTAGTGAATCCTCTACCTGGAGTTCTTCAAACTCATATCCTTCTCCACCCCTCCCCTATCCGCTCATCTAATGGTTACTAGATCTTGTACTGTAACCTAAAACCATGGAAAATATTTAATATCTCTATCTCTTCTGATATCTCTCCTATTCCATGATCCACTGCTCAGGCTATGTGTGATCCTTACTAGCGCGTATCTATGGATTCTGAAATGCCTGCCCTTCACACTAACCATACTTGGGATCTCGTCCCAAAACCCATGCATGCTAATGTTGTGGTCTGTCGTTGGTTGTATCGTCACAAGCTTGACAACAACGGTCGCTTGGAGCACTACAAAGTCTCATTTTTTCTCAAAGATTTCTCTCAACAACCTAGTCTTGATTTTGATGACACATTCAATCATGTCGTCAAACCCGCCACCATTCTACTGTTTTGAGCATCTCCATCTCTATAAACTAGCCAATCCACCAAATTGATGTAA